GTCCGAGCGGCGACGAAAACCTCCAGGCTCTCGAGGAGGAGCAGGACGGCTCCGCCGGGTCCGCGATCGAGGAGGTGACACAGATGTCTCCGGATGGCATCCAGCCGAACACAAGAAGGACAGCCGAGCAGCAGTCGAATTTCTTGGGTCGTCGTTGCCCCCCCCCAAGGCGCGCGAAGCTTGGCTTACAACGGGGGGCCGCTCAGGCCCACCTTTCCAGGAGCTTCCACAGGGGTGGTCGCCCCGAGCAGTTGAGTAGATTTTGATGTCGCGTCGATACAACCACCCGACACCATAAGATCGTCGATGCGCGACCCAGTAAGTTGGTCCGACTGCGTTCGTTTGCGCCGCGTGCCATTTGCCAAGAGTGCAATCGTGTCCTCATCCCCGCTCCTCTACCTTCTCCATTCCCCCCGATGTCTATTGTCATTTCCCTGCGGCCTTTTCCTCCTTATCCTCTTTCATTTCCTCTGCTATTTCATTTCCCCGTCTGCCCGCTTCTACACCTACTCTTCGTCGCTTTTCGCAATTTCCTCTTCGTCCCCTTCCTTCTCCACGCCCTCCCAAACAAGTATCATCGTCTTCGTTGTGCTCCTGCGCCCCCTCCTGTTTGCGCCCGCCTCTGGCGCCCTCCCCCACCCCTCCGCCTTCCCCGCGCGTCCTTTTAACGTGGGCATCAGATTCTTCATTGTTATTTTTTTGCATGCTCCCCCTGCCCACTGTCGTCATTTGGGGCCTCCCGTTCCTCCTCGCTTGTTCCTTGCGTTGTTCCTCCGCTTCCTCGTTTTCTCTGTTCCTCCCCTCCGCTTTTCTTGCGCTTCCGTTGGGAACCTCTGAGGGTTCTCTTTGGGGTGTCCTGGGGCCATCTTGGATGTTGCTTGATTTGAAGCCATTTTGGCATCCGAAGGCGGGCAATTACCAGGAACCCAAAGGACCCCGCCGACACCTCGTCCCCAACCCCGCCAGACCCAAAACGAGGGGATACTCGCAGCCGCTTCTCGAAAAGGTACGTTTATAGTGCTGTTAGCCGTTTCTGGTGCCCGTTGTATAGATCTACGCTGTGGTTTGCCGATCCCGGCGTCCCTAGTGTAGATATACACTGGTGTTTGCCGTTTCCAGTGCCCCCAGTGTAGATCTACATTGTCGTTTGGCCTTCTACGTTTATCCGGCGCTCATCTGCATTAGCGCGCGTGTGAATTGGATTTTGGTGGCGGGGCGCGTGTCGAAAATCTACACTATAATTCGGCTATTCCGTGTCCCTCAGTAGTTCTGGGTGCCCGGACTATACAGGTTCCCTCCCAGACTACAGTCACCCCTTCCCCGAACTACAAGTACTCTACCCCCCTGAGTACAGGTTACCCCCCCTCGGACTACAGGTCCCCCCCCCCCGGACTACAGGTACCCCCACAGGACTGCATCCACGCGTGCGTTGACGCGAACACGCGTTCCCCCTGAGACTGCAGGTACCCCCCCCCCTGATTACATGTACCCCCTCCCCGGACTACAGGTACCACAGGTACCCCGCCCTAGATTACTGGCCCCCCCCCCGGACTACAGGTACCCCTCCCCCGGACTACAGACACTTTCACCGGGCTTGAGGTACCCCCTCAACTATTGAGGGACGCAGAGTAATGTAGAAGTGTTTTTGGTCCCCATGACCTACATTAGGATGGTGCTAGTGCAGATGTATCGCTTTCGTTCTTCGAAATGGACACTAAGGTGGGTCTGACGTAGATCGCTGTCCGGCTCCACTGTGTAGATCTATGTTGGGCATTTGCCCATCGTGGCGCCCTCGTGTAGTTCGATCTTTGTTTTTTGCACACTGCGGCCCCGAGTGTCGATCTACACTGCGCCTGTGCCAAATTGGATTACCGAGAGCAGAGAGAGGACTGCGCCGGTGACAAATTGGATTTCCGGGAGCGGAGAGGGGGCGAAAAGGAGGAGGAGAGGGCAGTCGGGGGGCGGTAGTGGGGGGGTGGTAAGAGCGCATTGGAGGGGCAGCGGTGGAAGTTCTCGTTCACGATATGGCCCGAGGTGCCCTGGCGATGGATCGAGGAGGCGGGGGGGGATTGGGGGGCGGGGGCGAGGGTGACGAGGCGCACGATCAGGAGGGCCTGGGAGAGCTGGGCGTGGGGGGGGAGGTGGAGGGCTTGCGTACGGTACGCATCACAGTTGCGATCTTTTCACGTTTCGCTTGGGCACCAGGAGTCCCCCGAGGGGGCGGAGGATCCATGCGTTTCATGTCTTGGGCCGAATGGCCATTCAATCTACGTGAAAATGAGGAGTGGGAGGAGGGGTATTAGGAGGAGGAAAATGACATGAAGAGAACGAGGACAGTGAGGAACAGAGTGCATGGAGGACATGGAGATGGATGTGGAGGCAGATGACGCGGTGGATGAGGGAAAGGAGGAGGTGCAGGTCGAGGTGGAGGCGGAGGGGGAATGTGAGGAAGAGAAGGGGCGGCAAGCGGGACGTGACGGGCGGAAGTGCGTTGGCGGCGGTGGAGGTGGGGATCGGCGAAAGCGTGCAGGCGGAGCTTGGCATTCTGACCTCAGTGGGGCTTCAGGACGGCTCCGGGAATGTCTAGTGGAAGACCCACGACGGCTCCATGAATCAATCTACAGCCATATGCTTAACCGCATATACCATTCACATGCTTCCGCTCGCCTCCGGCACCCAGGCAGCCCGACCAGGCCAAACCCCGGGCGTGGCTGAAAGATATAGACCTCAGCGTGCGGGGCGGGGTGGCCCTGGGCCCCCCTCGGGTGCTCCTCCAGAAGCAGCCCCCCCCGCAGTGGCCCAGCGCGAGGCCAGGAGGGTGCATCGCCGACCCAAGACAGCCGCGCGGACCTCCGAAAGTCGATGCTTGCGTTTTTGTTCTCCAAATTTTGTTGGGGGGGGGGGGCAGCCCCAGGAGACATAGGCGCAGTGCGCGAAGCGGGAGCGGGGCTGGCCGTGAGTCCGAGGCAGGGATTTATACAATGCACAGTCCACCGCCTGGGGGATGTTCGGGAAGCGCGGCAGGCGGTGGGCAGGTATAGAGAAAGAGGGTCGTGTTGGAAGCGCTTAGGCACATGCATCATGCACTTATTTGCAGATGTGTGGAGGCTAATTGCTAAAGGCCGCCGATGGCCACCAAAGGTTGCTAGAAGCCGCTCACGGCCACAGCAGCTTGCTCGAAGAGGCAGCTGCTGAGACACCAAAGGGCTGGTAAGGGCCACTAGAGGCGACTAAACCGAAGCTGAGTATTCTAGAATGAGCTTCCAAAAAGACGCACCTAACATAGACGACGACCCCCCGTCACCTCTCCGTCCTTTTTCTGCCCTGCGGAGAGGGAGGCCGGGGGAGACGACGACGATGACGATACCGATGCCGATGCACCGCCCCCCCACCCCCCAAGAAAAGAACAGAGGGGAACCGCCGCGCCACGCCCACAGGTGGGCGGAGGGAGAAGCATCGCAACACCCACCATTCCACACCCACATTGGAGGGGAGCGAGATGGACCCATGGGGGGCCTCGAAACGATTAGCACTGGGTGGGGGGGGTTAGGCTGGACCGTGCATCCATGTCCGCCGCTTGCCGAGGTCACCGAATACATCGATGCCCCAGGCGGTGGCCACGGATAAGACGAGTCCCCGTCTCGCACTTGGATGCGGCAGCCAGCGGTGCTGCCCCCCGGCCCCCCGTGCGGCCCCCCGCGGCCCCCCGCGCGGCGGTGGCAACCGAGGGGCGAGGTCGGCTCGGCCGCCCCCGCGGCCCGCCACCCTTCGGCCCCTCGCCGCCCACGGCCCTCGCGGTTGCTCGCTCCCTTCGCCTCCCCCGGTCTGGCGGACGAGCAGCGGTATAGCATGAGCTTGGTCCTCGTCGGGGACGCATGTCCTGGGACGGCCGGAGGGGAGGGTCCGTGCCCTCGCGGCGGAGCGCAGGGGCTCGAGCTTATCCTCCGCAGTCTTTGGGGCAAGCGCCCCCGGCGGCGGGTTCCATGCCAGTTCTGTCAACGCCGCTCTTCGACCGCCAATTTGGTGGCACGGAGCGCCGTGGGAGCGCATTTGTGCCCGGCCTCTCCTCCGTCTTTTTTCCCTTGTAAATCGATCTTCCCCGTCGCACCCCCAGGCGTGTTGGTAGGGCAGGAGGAGGAGGAGGAGGAGGAGGAGGAGGAGGAGGAGGAGGAGGAGGAGGAGGAGGGAGGAGGGGAGGCGGAGGCGGAGGGCGGAGGAGGCGGAGGAGGAGGAGGCGAGGAGGAGGAGGAGGAGGAGGAGGAGGAGAGAGGGAGGAGGAGGAGGAGGAGGAGGAGGAGGAGGAGGAGGAGGAGGAGGAGGAGGCGGAGGAGGAGGAGGAGGAGGAGGAGGAGGAGGAGGAGGAGGAGGAGAGGAGGAGGAGGCGGAGGAGGAGGAGGAGGCGGAGGAGGAGGAGGAGGCGGTCGCACCTCCGGGCCTGAGACTCCTCCACCCACCGCGTGTGGCCCTGCATGCTCGACGCGCGTGCAGCAGCTGCACGGACGGAGGGCGGGTCGTTTTTTTCCAAGGTGTGGTTCTCGCCTCGGCGCCGCGTGCACGGATGCTCACCAGTCTCGGAGGGCACCAGCTATACACCAACACCGATCCTGGCCCAGGATCACCCTGGGCCCAGGATCGATGTATATGCCTTCTTGCGCAAGGCAGGAGGGCGTAGACACCGATCCTGGGCCCAGGGTGATCCTGGCCAGGATCGGTGCTGGTGTATAGTTGGTGCCTTCCCACAGTCGCAACAGCCGGAAGGCTGAAGGGCAAGATGTTTGAACACCCGTGGCTCTCACCGCATCGCTGCGCAGAATCGCTGTGTAAGCACGACGCCCAATGAAAAAATTGGAGGGCGGGCCGTCTTCAGAAGATCGCTCTGGCCTCAGCGCCGCGTGCATGTGTTCTGAACGCTTGCAACAGCTTCAAGAATGGAGGGCGGCTCATTCTCCAAGCAGCGTCACTCGCCCCAGTGTCGCTTGCAGTCGTGGCAAGCGTTTTCAGGACGTGTCCAGGTTTTGCATCGTTGACGTCTCACCTACTGCGTTCTGGCGCCGTCAAGGGGTGTCGAGACGCAGCACTCACGTCGATTCGCGGCGTTGAAGTCCCAGGAATGGTGTTCTGGCACGGTTTAGTTTTGCCCGCACGCAGCGGTCACCTCGATTCGCGGCGTTGGAGACCCAGGAATAGCGTTCTGGCACGGTTGACGATTCTCAGACGGTTGTCTTCACATGGGGCACTTCCGCAATACAAATAAGTTATTGTAGGTGTTTCTGAAGAGGAAATTCGGAGGACAGGTGTGTTGCAACATCGTTGATTTGCCTTGCGTGTACACTGGTCCTCGTCCTCCTGCTCCTCCTCCTCCTCCTCCTCCTCCTCCTCCTCCTCCTCCTCTCCCATGTTTGGTCGTGGTAAATAGCTCCTCCCTTTCGCACCCCCAGGCGTGTCGGTAGGGCGGGCCAGACGTTTCGCTTGAGACTTGTTCACCATGTAGGATCCTGAAGCGTGAAATTTGCACCAGCTTCAAGGATTGAGGACGGGTCGTTTTCAAAATGTGGCTCTCGCCTGAGCGCCGCGCAGATTCGTGCTAAAAGCTTGCAACAGCTTCAAGGATGGAGGGCGGGTGGTTTTCAAAATGTGGCTCCGTCCGCATCGCCGGACTGCCGTGACACAAGCAAGGACAACCATAGGACAACCTCGGAGCAGCCACGGGCCAACCACGGTACAGTTGCGGACAATCGAGGGGCAATTCCCAGGGCACCGCGGATCACAGCAACCAGAAGCGCGCTTGTCAAAGTCACCCGGTTCCGATTTGTTTGTTTCCCGCCCTATCGCACAGCTTCACTTCGCCCGCACGCGCGGCGCGACATAACGCATACCGAAGCCGCAACAGAGCTCCTAGGTGGGTCCGCTCCTTCCTTCCCACAACCTCCAATGACAGTTCATGCTTCTTAAGCTGCTACTCCTGGGAGGTTCACCTCAGCCTTTGCGCTTGTATGTCCTTGGGCCCACTCCGCCTCAGTCTGGCCAGTTCCAGCGCAAGCGGCCTTGGTATTTCGCTCAACATTGCAAGTTTTGGCACAATCGTTCCAGACAGCCGGGTCAATCCAGCATAGTCTTGCCCACGGAGACCTCCTAATTCGTCTGGCTTTGCTTTCGGATGGTGCCCAGCGCGAGGGCGAGCTCGGCCGGAAGAGGGGGTCCACCGGCAGGAGCTTCACACTTCCAGACGCAGCTCTGGCACGGGACAAGAAGGCCCGCAAGCAGCCTGCGCTTGACAGAGACGGCCGACTGCCGTGTGCTGTACATTGGATTGTCCCATCGGACGGAAACCAGCGCCAGGATCCAGTGCAGAAACACAAGCATACATATCCATTGTGTCGGAGTCGTGCCCTGGCATTTCGAAGCCTTGTGACCTCCAAGGGTTGCGGAGTGTTGGTGCCTCCCAGGCTCCCAGAAGCTTTTCGATTTGTAAAGCTTGTGTCCCCACATTTGTGTGCGGGCATACGCGTGGAAGTGGTGGCGTCCACGCTGTCACGCGCAAAGGTGCACAGAATGCATGTAGTTTTGTGTGTATGTGAATGTGCATACATGTGCGCCTGTTGTGCGGCATGTGCGACACGAAGAAGCAGAACCAGTTGAGTAGAATTGAACATTGTTTAAGTGAGCGCTGCGAAAGCGAGGTGCGTGAAAATGGAATGCGTAAGCCAACGCTAGCATGTAACAGGCATCGCTATTGCTAAGTCAATCCGCAAGTTTCACTCATGCCAGAACATGACGATACGACAGCCGTTGGTTTGCAACCTTACTCCAAGGATCTACGAATAACTTGTAAGTGCAGCAGCAAATTCGGAAAGTGAGCGTGCGACCACATGCGAACCGCATAAGCCACGCATGCGGCCCAACCCAATTCCAACTTCCCCGTCGGCGACATGCCTCTTCGGGTGTCCGTCAGCGACATGCCTGTTTGGGTGAGGTATATATGTGCGTGCCTATCTGATTGCTGTATCCTCCATGTGGCTCGACCTTGCGGTCTCTGCTTGGCGTATTATCGTCGTTGATTGGTGCACGACATGCTGCATCCTGTTCGAGACGTATGGCAAGGATTGGCCTTGACGCGTTCAGACACACGGTGACATCCTCTGCTCAGAATCTTTTTATTTTCTCCGCAGGCCATCCCGCCGCCGATATTGACTTCACCGAAGGAGCTGTTTAATCCCAGATCGCCGCCAACATCGTTGAATCCCAGATCACCGCCAACATCCCCAGAGGCACCGAGGGTGACATATCCGAGGCAGCCGCTGACGCCACTTCTCAAGGACACGTGCGCATGTTTTTTTGTCTATGCTCGATGTCTCCGGTTGTGCCGTGCTTGCCCCATGGCAGCGTGCAGCATCTGTGCAGCGATCGAGCATGTTGACGGGGTGCGGCGTCGACAACCCGATCCAGCGTTAAGTCGGGCCTGTCCCCCTACAGGAGGAATCTTCAAACATTGGAAAAAAACATAGTTCTGGGACGATGCTTTGACTGTTTTTGAGCTGCTCTTGCATGTGATTTTGCTGTCTTTTCATTTTCGTCCAAAATCCCCCTCCGTAGGAGGGCATGCCCGACCCACATCCAGCGGCCTCCGGCCCGGCCTGCCGCCCCATGGCCTGCGGGCAGAGGGCGCCGTGGGAGCGAGCACGGGTCACACGGTCTCGGGCCAAGGCCTCTTGGAGTGTGCTTAGGGAGGGCTCTGAAGACTGCTGCCCCGCTCGTTCGCGCGTGATCGCTTCTGCACACGCACGCTGTTGGCCCATCTGTGCTGCAAGTCCGTGTGGCAGTGCGCACCGGGGTGCCGATGGCCAGACACGCTGCTGCGAGCCATGCGCTCAGCGGTGTCGAAAAGGGGGCGACGGGGAGATCAGCATGGGGAAAGAGAGAGAGGACCGCGTGAGCAGACTATATGGTTGGGGTCGGATTATGTGTACATACATACATACAAACATACATGCATGCATGCATGCATGCATGCATGCATGCATCCATACATACATACATACGCACATACATACTTACACACATACATGTACATACATGTACATGTACATACATACATACATACATACATACATACATACATACATACATACGCACACCTACATACATACACACATACATACAATCATACAATCATACACACATGCATACATACATACATACCTACATACATACATACATACATACATGCATACATACATACATGCATACATATATACATATATACATACATACATACATACATACATACATACATACATACATACATACATACATACGTACGTACGTACATACATACATACATACATACACAAACATATCTATGCATACATACCTACATACATACATACATACACACATACATACATACATACATACATACATACATACATACACACATACATACGTGCATACAGACACACATGCATAATGTCTTTACTCAGAGTACCTCAATAGTTCTGGGCCCCCGGACTACAAGGGCCCCCCGGAGTACAAGGGCCCCCCCCCCCGGACTACAAGGGCCCCCCCCCCGGACTATGGGGACCCCCCCCCCGGACTACAAGGGCCCCCCCCCCGGACTACAAGGACCCCCCCCCGGACTACAAGGACCCTCCCCCGGACTACAAGGACCCCACGGACTACACTCACCACGCCCAGCACCAGTGCTACGGGTTGCCACAGATAGACAATTGCCTCAACCTTGAACGACGACGACGACAACGACCACGACCACGACCACGACGACGACGACGACGACGACGACGACAACCACGACGACAATCACGACGACGACGACGACGAATACCACGAATACAACGACGACGACGACGACGACGACGACGAGGACGACGACGACGGCGGCGGCGGCGGCGGCGGCGGCGGCGAACTGTGGCCATTTTGCCTGGGCCACGCGCGCAACTGTGGCCATTTTGCCTGGGGCGCATCTCCGCGGCCGTCGAGCGGGACGTCGCCCCGCGAAGATCACAGTGTCCCCCCCCCCGGACTACAGGAACCCCCCCCTGGACTACAAGGGCCCCCCCCCCCCCCAGACTACAAGGGCCCCCCCCCCCCCCCCCGACTACAGGAACCCCCCCCCGGACTACAGGAACCCCCCCCGGACTACAGGGCCTCCCCCCCCCGGACTACAGGGGCCCCCCCCGGAGTATTGCGCACCCCAGAACTATTGAGGTACTCAGGGTAACATGTTTAAACGTGCTTCCCCCTCACCCTTCCCCCCTGTGGGGGTTGTATCTTTGTATAGGTGGCCTGTGTATGTGCCTGCTTTATTTCTCCCTTTCTCTCTCTCCCTTCCTCCGTTCTCAGCATCAACAGCACCATCAACATCCTTACCCGCTCCTCCCCCGCCTGATCGTCGTCGTCATCATCATCCCTCCTCATCACTACCATCATCATCATTATCATCATCATCATCATCGTCATCATCATCATCATCATCATCATCATCATCACCACCATCATCATCATCAACAACATCATCATCATCATGTGTCATGCCATTCCTGCTCCTCCTCATCATCAGGGCCGCGCCATGCGTTTTCTTTCAACATCTACTCGCCACCTGGTTGATGGTGCTGACGAGGAGGATGGGGATGAGGGATGATGATGACGATGATGATGCTGATGATGATGAGGAGGAGGAGGAGGAAGAGGAGGAGGAGGAGGACGACGAGGAGGAGGAGGAGGATGGATGATGGATGGTGGTGATGACGGGGAGGCAAGCAGCCGGCTTGACCGGCAGAAAAGTCAGCCACAGAGGATTGCGGCCCCGAGAGCGTGCGCTTGTCGTCGTTTACGAAGGATTGTGGACCAGTGAGCCCGATGTGTTGGGTTTTGCAGAGCGTCGTGGCTTCGGGAGCGCGGACAAGGATCGTACCTTCGGGAGCGCGGATCAATCTATTCTTTCGTGACCCAAGACACCCTGAATCTGAGGGAATCCAGGTTTGCTAGGGCAAGCCTGTTCTCTTGGGCCAGGGCGGGTGGCGCTATCTGCAGCCTTCCAATCTTGGAACGAGGAACAATGATTTGTAAAACCTGAGACCGTAGAATTGGGAACTGCCCTGGAACTCGCACCAGAACCAAGGAGCTGAACATTGTTTGCAAGGAGCGGAAGTCTTGTCCATGAAACCTGGCGGCCCCTGAGGGGACCGGCGGGTTGCATGTGCGCTGTTTGAGGGCACCGCAATGATCAAGATCGTTCCCGCGGTTGGGGGCTTTTCTAAACAGCCCCATGTAGATTGCACCATTGCGTGCACCACCTAGAACCACAAAGATTGCCCTGCATAGTCTGCACCACATAGGTGGCACAACATACTTTGCACAACATGCGACGCACTGTACATAATGCACCATGCGCAGATCCCGACAGTATTTATTCGGCACTTCATCGATTACCTCGCATAGAGTGCATCGCTGAGATTGCGCCATGCGCAGATTGCACCACACGTATTGCGCATCGAGAGTGGAATGGCCGATTGCTTTGGGTCCGCACACATTTCGATACCAACGATTTCTTGATGGCGCCCGACTGCGTGCCGGAGGCACGGCGGGCGGATGCCGATGCGATGTTGTTGTTTGTATGCGTACGTTTTTTTCGTTCCTGGGCTGCTCAAGGGCCTTCGACAGCCAAGTCCGTTGCGCGTGACCGTCAGATGAGATTTGCTGCATCTGTCAGATTCGTTGGGCGTACGGACCAGATGCCGCATATGCTGCATGCTCAGCAAGGGGCCATGCGAGCAATTTGTCTAAACCCAAGAACCCTCTGATCTTCCCGAGCCTTGCACATTCGCCCCAGATCGTGAAGCAGCTGGGCAACGTGTCTACCAAGACGGCTTACGAGTCCAACCAGGAGAACGGTCGTAATGATTGTGGTACTAAAGAAAGCATGAGGTATTGCAGAGGAGGAGTGGAGTAGACGAAGGACGCATTGAGGAGGAGCGCTCAGGAAGATGGATGAAGAGGACAATGGTGAGGATGAGGGCGATGAGGAAGTCAGCACCCATGAGCACTACGCTACTTATCATGAATACGAGGCTCAGGGGATTCTGATCAGTTGCAGGCGTTGCACCGACTTCCGAGCACTCGGTGACATCACAATATTAGTTTGGCGAGCGACCCAAGCTTTGGCAGATTCGTGAGACGTCGGTGATGCACCTTTCTGTGCACGGTTCGTGTGAGGGACGCGCATGTACACTTTCCAGTTGCTGTCGTAAGTCATGTCCCCTCAGGGGCGTGAAACGACTGAGGGTACGGCGAAGCGCGCGGGCAAACGCGCGCAAACGTTTCCCATTGCGGCCGTTGGTGGGATTCGTGTCAGGTGCGTGCTCAAACGGACGGCAGTGCGCATGCGAGCTTCCTCGTTGAGGTCGTAGGTGTAACTCCCCAAAGTTGGGGGCAGTTTTCGTGAGAGATGTGCCGAAATGGGCGGCGGCGCTATCGGGACATTCCCAATGAGGCCGTAGATACTTTTTGTGGGGCTACGGTTCTCGTGAGCGGTGTGCCGAAATGGGCGGCGCCGCCAGGCGGACCCTGCCTTTGGGGCCGTAATCGGGACTTCCAATGGTGCCATCAAACGTGAGAGGGTTGCGCCGTCATTGACCGTGCCGACATGAAGACCTTCACACCGAGGCCATATGTGGAGCTTGTTACGCTTCTATTGGCGCCGCCGCCATGCGGACCCTGCCAGTTGGAGATTGTGCTTCCCATAGCCCTGTATGGCAACGATCCTTTTGAGGGGTGCGCTGAAATTGACGTCGGCGCCATAGGAACCCTGCCATTGAGACCGTAGGTTGTGCTCCCTACAGTGGCACGCTTCTCTGAGAGGTGTGCCAGAAAGGGCGGCAGCGCCATGCGGACCTCCCCATTGGGGCCATAGGTGGAGCTCCCTATGGGGCCACAGTTCTCTTGAGTATGGTCGGGTGCGCCACGACTTCGCAGGATGTATGAATATTGGAGCTTCCTTCGGGCCATCTGGGGACCCCTTTGGGGCTCCTTGGATGTTCTTGGGGGCTCAGTGGGGCTCTCTGGGGGTCCTCTCGGGGGCATCTTGGAGGCCTCTGGCGGCTCCCTGGTCCTTCTGGCGCGAGGGGCCCTCCAGGGGCCGCCCGGCGGCTTCTGAAGCAACTCTCGGGAGCGATCCTGGGAATTTGTTGGGCCGCC